CATCCTAATCTATCTTCGCATGCCTGCGGGTTCTCTACTGTTTGCTGGAGGGGTACTCGGACCTCCTGGTTAGCCTGTGACTGATCAGCTGATGCTGCTTCCATAGTCAGCAAACCGGATTGGCGTCCCTGCTCCGCGGCCGTACCCTTGCATTACCAAGGACCGATTAACAAACTGTCGAAGCGTTACGAGACACACGCGGCCCGTAGACGCAAGAACCTGGACTATAATACTGGCTCAAGCCGCAAGTCCTGTGAACTGTCCTGTCCTGTCCTGAAAAGAATTTTCGAATAAAACGAAGATTGGGAGTACACTTTCTAGATGCGTTTACTCTTCCAGAACTAAACTCACTGACATTCAAGTAAACCAAATAACCCGATGGTTGCAGTTCTGCGGTGCTCCTAAACTCATTGGTACAGGAAACTGCACTGCTGCTCGCTCCGCCGCAAGTTCTATGTCCTCTCTCGTCCTGGCTAGAATAGGACTCGTAATTGTCAAACACACATGGAAAACCACACGATCACAGTGCAAGGGCAGGAACTGATAATGGTATTGGCTTCAAGTTCTGTGACCTGATTCGACCTATACTGGACAGGGTTTGTTTAAGTTGATTCGTATACTGCAGCTTTGAAATTTTGAAGGTTTCCGCGGGCGCTGGGTTTCACAAGATGCCGTCCAAGAATAGTAACGAATCGGAGGGCAGTGAAACTGCTGAAGATGAATTTCAAGTGGAGAAAATTTTAAAGGTGCGCATTCGAGGTGGAAAAAAGGAGTACTTTTTGAAGTGGAAAGGCTATCCTGATGAGGAAAACACGTGGGAGCCCGAGGAAAATCTGGATTGCCCGGATCTCATCAAAGTACGCATCGAACATGATCTTACGTAGTCTGATCCTCTCATGTAATTCGCTTGAGGGTGATATTTATACTTCGCTTTCGTGGTTTAACGTGTTAAGAACGCTCGTTCTGTATTCTCGCCTTTTTGCATATTTTCTACGGTGGCAAACTCCGTTACTCTCCTTTTTCGGATTTCTCAGGTTACTTGTATGTTTTTCAGTTCACTCGAGACGTATAGAGGGGTTTCGTTCAGACACATCTGTTGACTAAAACATCCGTTATCGTGTCTTCTGGTCCGAGTGCTCGCCAATCCCTAATCGCCTGAAGCGTTACTGCGGGCTGACCAGATTTAGCTCTTGTCCTGGTACATGCTACCATAACGTTCTGATGGTTTGAAGTAGTTCAGATGAAATGGTTATCATCCACCTCCAGTTTGTGAGCGTCTCCCCATTTTTTTTTTTGATCGGCCTCCGTTCATTTTCTCGCGAAAACTTGCAGGATTTCGAGGATAGACGAGCCCGCGAAAAAGCGGTTGCGGCCAGCCCCGCTCGATCTTCCTCAAGCACTGAGACGAGTCGAGTGCGCGCTCGCTCTAAGGGCTCAACACCTCAAGGCGCATCTCCAAAACATTCACAGTCCGATGATATCTCCGAACCACCTAAGAAAAAACGGCACTCAATGGCCCCCAGCGACAATGGAGATGCCGGAGCAGAGAGTATCACCGAGGAGCCGAAGGCAACTGAAGAAGAACCAAAGGTGAGTTTTATATCCTATCCAGGTGTCTTTTGCAGCACTCGCTAGCACGGCTGTGTACTCCTTATATCACATTAATGGATCATCATAATGTAAAGGCTTAAAGGAGTCATCGGACCTAGAACCTTTCAGTTTTATTTGCCTATACAGAGCCTGGTCCATCACGTCCCTCGATGTGTATCTGATTAGTTTTGAATTCCTTTGGCCCACCGTTGTCGTGTAAGCGTCTCCAATTTTCAAATGGATCCTGAAGACACCAGGTCGCTTTTGCTGCCGTGTGCCGCGGTGTATCCGCACGTTGGTGGTTTCTTCGAAGAGGATAGCTTGTCGTAAGCCACCGATTCCATTGATTTGTTCAAAGCATTTGTGTGGGGAGTGCATTCTCGTCAAAGGGCCCACATGAACTGCTTCACTAGATGCCCCACTGGAAAAGGATGGGGAATCTAGCTATACTCACCTGTGGTGAAGGCAATCAGTGTGGTGCTCCTTAATTTACGTTATACAAGCCTTATACACTCAAACCCGATTACGTGCGTGTGGCGTTACTGATTTTGAACCACTAGTCGCCTGAAGGAGTGCCATAAGAGTTGGACCTCTGGTTTCACCGAGCTGTGTATGACTTTCGTAGAGCTTTGAAGTGGTTGTAAATGCATGGTTTTAAGCACTATGCTCCAGACATACGTATACGTATATATATTACGCTTCTTTGTCCAGACCGTCTAAATAATCAAATTACAGTTACGGTTCAATTGTCTTGACTATTCATAATCGGGGATATCGGCTAGTCAGTGTTGTTCACCGGATAGAACGCCTCTAGACGGATTGAACGGCGGAGTTACCCACTACGCCGACGTGTTCCTGCACAATNCAATTTCATGCAACTGAAGTCGCTTGTGCCTGCGCCTCATCCGCTAATCAGCACAACTACTGCATCACGAGGAATGAACGACGTAGTCTGCACCAGCACAGTAAACGGACATACTATTTGGCTCTAGTTTCTCATCCGATTCAATGCTACGCCTAACCTGGCGGGGTCTTAGGTTACCAGTTCCCATGACTGAGCAGCAGGTCGTGANNNNTTACCCTACCGTGTGTATTAAACAAGCCTTCAATAGGTCCTGTTGTTCACAACACCGGTTTTTAGACGACAAGAATCAACTATAACGGGGCGGGTGGGTTGGCATACAGAACAAAGTGGAAGGGTAAAACTTTTGAATTGGAAAATAGTAAATAACGAATAAATTTTTTTGTTTCACCGTACACTTATTGATATTTTTTCTTTTTTACGGGGCATGAGATTTCAACTAGAACAGCGCTAGCGCCATAGACTTCCTTTCTTGACCATATCTCTTAGTGTCTCTAACCAACGGCAATCCTCACCTGGAAGGCGGACTGCACCAACCGAAGCCAAGCGTGAAGCCAGCTTCATACGTCTACACCATGTCATAGACTGACCGCCGCAGCGCTTCTTCCAGCATTGCCTAGCACGTGCAAAGAGAGCACGAACGGGTAGTCAATCGGCAAGCATACGCAATTCGTGACCAAGCTATTGGAGGCGGCGTAGAGCGATTAATTCTGTTGGAGAACGACTATCTGTACATACACAACGACGGACCTTGACATTACTTATCCAATGTCCCCACCAGACACGAGCGCCGTTTCGGAGACAGGTGGTCGAATTCAGAAAGTTGATCAACATCCTCAACGCGGAGGGGCCACGTCTCGCAACCGTAAGGCAGGACGCCACGAACCGCGACGACGTACACCCTTCCCTTAAGGAGCAGTCGGATGCCATGGCGTTGCCGCGGGTGTCGCA